GGACGGTGAGACAAAGGGGGAGAGGGAAAAGCAAAAGTTAAGGCCCGAGAGGGGAGAAAAAGAGGCACGGGGGGGGGGGGGGGGGCGTACTCTTATGTTTTGCATGCCTTAGCGGTTAGACCATTGACCACGCGTCCTCGAGAGGACGGAGCATTGTTCCCACAGGACCGATCACCGATGGCCAATCGTTCCTTCCTACTCTGCCAAAGGTGGCTCAAAAATGTCTTTCCTAGTCTGTCTATCCTAACGATATCCCTTCCCGCCTTTTCAAACCACTTCCTACTCCCCAGTACAGCTACCGTCCTCTCCTCTCTATCCCATGCCTCAAACATCTCCCTGTACGTCCCTTGTATTTTCCCCAGCTCAGTCATGTACACTTCCCTCTCCTCTTCGTACCACGGACATTCCGCGACTACATGAACACGGTCTTCGCATTCGAAGCCGCAATCACATTTGAACTTGTCGTCTTCGTCGTCTACCGTCCTATGTCTTCGTCGACGTTCGCGAAGGCCTATGTCCCCGGTCCTGAATTTGACCTTAAGCTTTGTCCCTGCATCCATTGGTCCATGTAGGTAATCCTTGAACCCTATTCCTTCTTTCAACATTCCGTACACTTCTAGACCCTCCTTATCCTCGGTTTCTTTCCTTAGATTATGTTTTTCTCTCTCGGCACAAGCAACAGATATCTTCTCCTTGAACCCCTGTAGACCCTCCGTTTCCAGCGTTTCATTTTGGTGGATGTCTAACCATAAGGGGGGGGGGGGGTGTACTCATAGTCGTGCATGCCGTAGTCGTTAGACCATTGACCTCGCATCCCTACAAAGCCGGGACGGATCACGCCGGGTTCTCACCGGACCAGGCTCTCACATCACCAAGCGCGAAGCACCGTGAGGTATTCGGCGAGTCGCATGAAGGGTGCGCTGCATTCTGCTAAGGGTATTCGGCATCTTGTGCTTACTTCCTTGCGTACGGATGACAGCTGCGTATGACTTAATTTATTTTCTGGTGCGTTCACTTCCAGAGACACTTATAAGCACTGT